ACGTGAAAGTTCAAGGGACAGACTACAGGTACACTTTGATCCAGGAGTTCAAATTATGTCATCAGGATATTATCTCATTCTCTCTCTGTCTCTCAGTGCTACTTTTGTGAGTGTTGGCTTACTCCTCTGGCAAGTTCTGATTCTTGTCGGCCTCCAACATTCCAGGCTTTCAGTTTCATAGCTCTTATTGTAGCAGGAAAAGAGGATATACCCCTTTCTGCTCAGCTGAAGTAAAAGTATCCGAGATTGTACATCAGTGGCTCTGATAGGGTCACTGGCTCATGTTTGAATCAATCAATGTGACTGTGGAATTGGATGCTTTGAATGCTCAGCACTACATCATAGGAAAAGGTTCATCATATCATCTTTGCTCAGTTGCGTCCAACTCTGCAACCCAATGGTCTGTAGCCCACCAGGCTCCTCTGTCCATGGAATTTTCCAGGCAAGAATACTGCAGAGGGTTACCATCTCCTACTCCAGGGGATCTTACCAACCCAGGGATCGACCTCACATCTCTCGCATCTCCTACATTGGCAGGCAGGTTCTTTACCACTGTGCTGGAAAAGGTTAAGTCCACACAAAATGGTAGAAAGGAATCTCAGAGGGCTGTTAGCAGAAGGGAGCATGGATGCTGGGTAACAAAACCACAACAGATGTCCTCTGCCTATCCCCTTGCCTATGAAATTGACAAATCCAAACTGGTCTTATAATAGGATAACACTTAAATACTTGCCTTTGAATACGGATATTCTCTAAAGGCCTTTAAACTACCTCGTTCCCTGAGTCTTCCTCTTGCAGTCATACTGTAAATTTGTCATTAACATGTCCTCATGTCCTTTCACCTTCAGGGCAGACATATGCCTTCTTACAAGGACCTACTGATTACAAGTGACATCACAATAATTGCCATTTTGCAGCTGTAATTTCTTACAGTTTTCATCTTACAGCCTACTTCCATTTTCTGTAACTTCATGTTTATTCCTAATGAAATGAATTACTTAAAAAAACCTCATGTCCCACTTGAATATGTGGGACACCAAAACTAAAGCATCTGTAGCAAGAGTAATTTGTAGAGGATTTTAAGAAAGAAAACCTCTTTTATTTCTTACGTAGAATAATAGATCTCCCTAAGATACAGTGGAGGCTGATGCTATTGACAATTGGTTCTATACCCTGCCATAGTCTCAAGGGCTTGGAATCAATAAGGCATTTGCTACAATAATATCAAAATCTTGTTCACATTAAGGAGGACTGAGCAGGGACTCCAGTTTTACCATTGTTCTCGTGGAGCAAGCTAGATTAGTTGGGACTATAAATGTAGTGCAGGATGAGGTAGCCAAGACTCTAAGATTTTTGCCCCCAGGATTGAAATTCTACATCTACCACTCACTGCCCGTTTGATCTTAGATAAGTTACTTGACTTAACTATTCCTTAGTTTCTTCATTTACAAGGTAGAAACAATAATAGCATTGACCTCACAGAGTTGATGTGATGCTTTTATGAGTTAATACGTATAAAATATTTAGAAGAGTGTGAGAACTATGAAAGTAAAGATCCATGTAAGTGCACAGTTAAGAACTTTGTTAGCTCTTATTATTTACTTTTAATGAATGTTCATATATAAATATTCAAGTAAACAAAGTGAGGGAAGTATTATTCAGTAGCAAGTTCCTTGAAGAAACAACTAAAGCACAAAATGCACATTTTCTTTTTATGAATCCTGCCTAAATTACCCACATCTGAGCAAGAAAGTGGGAATGACATATTAATGGAAAAACAGGCTAATAAGCCTAACCTAGTTTCACATTCGAGAGGTGGAATAATTTATGGGAAAGCTCTCTAGGCTTCTAAATGCTGCAGTCAAATCACTGTATGGAGAAAGCTACAAAATCAAATTCCAAACAATGAAAACATCAGTTTCTTAATGGAACAGTTCCAACCATCTGGCATTCATATGTTTGCAGGGAGGTTATTGTGCAGCCATAATGACCCAATCCCACCTCTAGGCAAGAAGCTTTCATGAAGGAAGTTTACCCTGGCCATTTGTGGCTGGTTAATATTACCAGAAGAGGTTTTTTTTTTTTTTTTTCAACTGTTCCACTGTTAATGTTTCAAATTTGAACTTTTTTTTCCAAGAGAACAGAGAAAGAAGGAACTTGAGATATATTTGTAGAGTGCAAAAGAGAGGGTAGGAGATTTCAGCATCTCAGAAATAAGTTTTTCTTGAAGGCAATTTTTCAAAAAGAAGTGCCTTGTTGCATAGGCTGGATTCAGTCTTGCTGATAATTTATTATCTCTTCTAAACAGATTTAAATTAAATATTAGATCATCTTCTTATCATACTTTAACAACTGATTTTGAATAAAACTCGGGACATAGAAATAATGACATTTCACTTTTCTTTGAATGAACTGCCAATTTTGTTAGCATATTATCTTTCCATTCTACTATGGAACTTGACCTACTGTCGAATGTTCATTCATTCACTTAAAATTGATAATCCAGTACGTATTTACTAAGCCTCTACTGCATGAGGCATACCTGTTTAATAGAGTGTAAAAAGATGAGTCTTAAGAGGTGAAAACAGGTATAATAAAAAGGCAGTTTGATATAAAATGTTAACAGTGTGAGAGATTTTTATAAGGATAAAAGGGAGACATGCACAAAAATTTAAAATTCAATGTAAATAAAATCTACATTGGAATGACTAGAAAGAAAAATAAACTATGGATAATAGAGTCAATCATGTAGATTTCACACTTTATAAGCTCTCCTAAGATGGAGGGCAAAAGATTTTTTAAAAAGGCAAAGAGATAAAAATGACAAGAGTAACTGAATAGAGACCAAAGAGCCAGTATATTAAGGCTATTCCTGAAGGAGACATAACAAATAAAGAAAAGGCCACAATTAACTATACAGTAGAAGAAAGTTTTCTGAACTTATTGTATAAAGTTATAAAACAACTTATACATTTATTATATAAAGACCTATTTCTGTAAATTTGTAGTTTCTAGGTTATAACAGTTTACTTTTTCTTTTTTTGAAGAGAACAGAAAATATGCAAAGATACACAGAGACTAAATATATGCTACCATAAAGCCTTTTTGAGAAATGTAAAAATTAGTCCAAGAGACTGAGTTGTGTACCAAGTTGAGAGCAGATAAGAATTATTGGGGCTTCCCTAGTGGCCCAGTGGTAAAGAATCCACCCGCCAATGCAGGAGACATGGGTTCAATCCCTAGTCCTGGAAGATCCCACATGCCTGTGAGCAACTAATCCCCTGTTCCACAATGATTGAGCCGGTCCTCTAGAGCCTGGGACAGAGCTCACAGTTACTGAGCCCATGCACTGGAACTACTGAAGCCCGTGCTCCGCAACAAGAGAAGCCACCACGACGAGAAGCCTGCCCACTGCAACTAGAGAGCAGTCCTCACTCGGCACAGCTAGAGAAAAGCCTGTGCAACAGCACAGACTCAGCACAACCAAAATAGATAAATACATAAAATTAAAAGAAAATTATAATCAAAATCTTTTTATTGAAGAGAAAGAGTTAAAAAAAATTCATTAAACATTCAGCACCAGAAATTAAGGAGATTTACAAAGTAAACCAAAGGAAGTCAGTAGGGAGAATTTACCTATGAACAAAACAGCTAATGAGATACACAACAGAAAAGGAATAGAAATGATAAATCCACCCTAGATCTGTTTCTTTTTTTGTAAAGAGTCAAAAAGAACCCTAAGCAAAGCAACTCAGTAAAAGACACACATATACACACGCACACACGCATCATCTATAGTACTAGGATAAACGGAGACTAACAATTCTGTTTCAAGCAACTTGAAAATCGCAACAAGAAGACTATTATATGGCGATCATTTAAAGATAAATAGGACAGTAACTGTGTGGAAGACACCTGTGCAGGTTGGGTTCTGTGTCGATGCTGAGGCTGAGGTAGGAGAACAAAGAAAGTGTTTACTGCGGAGTACCATCTATGAAAGGAAAAGGAAGAAAACCAGGAGAAGGCAGAGGGAGCTAGCCAGCTCTGATGGAGGCCCAGTGACGTCCTCACTAGCCCAATATGGATTTGGGGAACAAAGATGTCCATTAGAGAAGTCCCTCACCAGACAAAAATGGCTACACCCTTGTACCACACCACCACTCACTCACTGGCCAGGGCTGACCGAGAGAAGAGTGTAATCTTGCTCACTCATTGGCTAAAGGGATGCCTTAAGAAGGATGTGGCCTCACCTTAAAAGCTACAGAGGACCCTTAAAGTGCTGAAAGCCATAGACCATCCACTAACCACACCCTTTGCAGCTGGGTCATGAGTTTTTTTTTTTCCTTGGAATGGATTTGAATGGTACATCTCCATGTCTGCCATAGTCCACTGCTTGCTCCACGTGGATCTCCTTCTCCAAACTTGTTGAAGGGAGTAGCACCTCCACACATATGTTGGGCTTCTCTTCCTGAGGAAAAACTTAGAAAACAGAGCTTAGTGGGATTAACCGTAGCCTTCACAGCTGCAGTTCATCTCAGGGCCATCAATGGTGTTTACCTTCCTTCCCCCCATTAAACATTTTAAATTTCTCTCACTCTCAGCTGACATCTCCAGTAATCCTACTAACCCACTTCATGGTGTGACCCTGTGTCCTTAGTAACCACACGCTTCTTTAAGTGCTGTATTTGTCCATTCACGCTCACAGCTGGGCAAGGGAATACCAAGAGGTACCTACCTGAGTCATGTGAATTCCACACATTTTCCTCCCTGTCCCTGTTAAGTAACAGTAGTTATTAAGTGTAACTGACAAGAAATAATCTTCTCCTGTGAATTATCAGTGTGAAGTATCCCTTAAAAATGGTGATTATACTTCATGTCTGCTGGACTTTAGACAAAAGAATCCCAAACTGCTTAGGCAGTAGTTATAGCTTGTAGTTCAATGGGACTTTTGCGTAAGACTTTTGATACTGGTAAGATCAAAACTTACTTCTATCTTGCAGACCCCAGAGTTGTGTGAAGAGAAGCACAAAGTCTGAGAGTGGGTCATTGAGATTGATGGTAAGTGGGGTCATTGGGGTTCCTTCTGCTTCCACCCTCTAATTTCACAAACCAATTTTTTTTTTTTTTGAATTGGTGATAAAACACCACATAAATGTCTCTGCGCCAGTGCATACAGTGCATCCTGAAAGATAGTTTCCATCCTTGCAGGCTATTGTCTCCAAGTTGGTGATTCAGCTGTATCTTCAACAGGACATTGCATCCCCTCCACAGGAAGTTTTTGGGTGGGGTGGTGTCTGATAAGACTACACGGTCCATTCTTGTGCCTTCTTCACTGCAAACTGAATGCCTTGGTTGAATGTTGTATGGGATTCCAACCTTGTGGATCAGACATGCCATAAGCTCTGGATAGTGATGCTGGCGGATACCCTTGAGGGCAGGAAGGCATATCCAGAATAGATGACTATTCCTGTGAAAATGAACCACAAACTCTTCAAGGATGAAAGAGTCCCAACCTAGTCAACCTTCACCAAATTACCAGTTGCTCTCCTTAACAAATTGTTCATACTAAAGGTTCAGAGATGGGAATGTCAGACCACCTTACCTGTCTCCTGAGAAACCAGTATGTAGGTCAAGAAGCAATAGTCAGAACCTGACTAGACCATTCAGGTATGACCTAAATCAAATCCCTTATGACTACACAGTGGAAGTCAGAAATAGATTTAAGGGACTAGATCTGATAGAGAGCCTGATGAACTATGGACGGAGGTTCGTGACATTGTACAGGAGACAGGGATCAAGACCATCCCCAAGGAAAAGAAATGCAAAAAGGCAAAATGGTTGTCTGAGGAGGCCTTACAAATAGCTGTGAAAAGAAGAGAAGTGAAAANGACTTGAAAAAGTTTTCATGTACTTTTTTCCATTTTGTGTCTTTACTGAATAAAATTTAGTAAATTTACTAAATTTATCTCCAGTATGATTTTAAAGTAGCTTCCTGTCCTGAAAATGATATTTGTTTTGTGTGTGCTTGATAGTGTCCAACTCTTTGTGACCCCCATGAACTGCAGCCTGCCAGGTTCCTCTGTCCATGGGATTCTCCAGGCAAGAACATTGGAGTGGGCTGCCATGTCCTCTTCCAGGGGATCTTCCTGGCCCAGCGATAGAACTTGTCTGCTGGTTGTGTCTCCTGCATTGGCAGGTGAATTCTTTACCCCCGAGACACCTGGAAAGCCCTTAGGAAAGGAAATACTACTATTCCTATAGTTAACCTACAAAACTGAGGCTTAGAAAGCTCAGCCTCACAGGTTTAGGATTGAGACTGTTCCTAGTTCTAATACTTAACCTCTGAGACTCAGGTTTCATGTTATGAAACCAGAATCATAAAGCCTGCATAATAAGTTCATTGTCTTGATAAAATAAGACTTTTTTGTGACTAACACAAAAGGAACATTAATGGAGGCTGGGTACTATTGTACAACTCCTGTACCCATGACTTGTGAGCCCATTTTCTTCCTTCTCCCTCAGAAACTAGTTCCATCATTTATGCCTTCTTTTATTCAAATCATTGACTGTAATTCCAATTCATCCACTGAAAGCTTAAATTTCAAGGTACAAATGCATTTTAATCTACTCCACCAAAAAATCAAAGAATCTGTATTTTAGAACTTCCAGATCTACATGCTGGATTTAGAAAATGCAGAGGAATCAGGGACCAAGTTGCCTCCATCGGATCATAGAGAAAGCAAGAGAATTCCAGAAAAACATCTCCTGCTTCATTGACTACCCTAAAGCCTTTGTGTGGATCACAACAAACTGTAGAAAATTCTCAGAGATGGGAAGACACCTTACCTGTCTCTTGAGAAACCTATATGCAAATCAAGAAGCAACAGTTAGAATCTTATATGGAAAAAGTGACTGATTCCAAATTGGGAAAGGAGTTCTTTGAGGCTGTATATTGTCACCCTGTTTATTTAACTTATTTTCAGAGCCATCACCAAAATGCCAGGTTGTATAAAGCACAAGGTGGAATAAAGAGTGCAGGGAGAAATATCAACAACCTCAGATATGCAGATAATACCACTCTAATGGCAGATAGAGAGAGGAACTAAAGAGCCTCTTGAAGGTGATAGAGGAGAGTGAAAAAGCTGGCTTAAAACTCAACATTCAGAAAAACTAAGATCATGGCATCTGGTCCCATCACTTCATGGAAAATAGATGGGGAAACAATGGAAAGAGTAACAGACTATTTTTCTGGTCTCCAAAATCACTGCGGATGGTGACTGCAGCCATGAAATTAAAAGACACTTGCTCCTTGGAAGAAAAGCTTTGACAAACCTAGAAAGCATATTAAAAAGCAGAGACATGACTTTGCTTCAAAGGTTCATATAGTCAAAGCTATGGTTTTCCAAGTAGTCATGTACGGATGTGAGAGTTGGACCATAAAGAAGGCTAAGCACCGAAGAATTGATGCTTTCGAACTGTGGTGTTGGAGAAGACTCTTGAGAGTCCTTTGGACTGTAACTAGATGAAAGCAGTCAATCCTAAAGGAAATCAGTGAATATTCATTGGAAGGACTGATGCTGAAACTGAAGGTCCAATACTTTGATCACCTGATGTGAAGAGCTGACTCTAGAAAAGACCCTGGGAAAGATTGAAGGCAGGAGTAGAAGGGGACCACAGAGGATGAGATGGTTGGATGGCATCACTGACTAATTGAACATGAGTCAGGCTCCAGGAGATGGTGAAGGACAAGGAAGCCTGGCATGCTGCAGTCCATGGGGTTGCAAAGAGTCAGTCACGACTGAGCGATTGAACAACTATGACCAGAGGTTCAGAGATGGTCCATGCTATGCCTGTACTTCAGGCTTTGGTTTGCTCTCCTTTGCTGGCAGTGTGGACATTCAGAAGCAGCATTAGAGAGATCAGCTTTGGAAAGTGGAGTCAATTGTGTTGTACTCATGCTCAGCCTTCCTCTCTGCCATGGTGCCACTTTATTCACATGTCCTTGGTGCTGCTGACAAAGATGGGCCCAGCATTCCTGCTTGTGGAGATGAGCAGGAATTCCACCTCTTCTCTCTCCTTTACCAGTTGGAAAAATTATGGAAGGGAGAGGATCATGTTCATTCAAGTTCATCTTGGAATAGATTATGATACTCAATGTAATTTATTCTTGTCAAAACCTATCCCTAATGGGTCAGATCTATGACCTCTTAGTGTAAATTCCTACAAGTCAGTTCAGATCTCTTTCTGGGAAGAAGTCCAGTTATTGTTATTGCTGTTCATCTTTTAGAAACTTAAGCTCTCAGAAACAGATTTTTAGATAACTTTTCAGAGAGATTTTTTCTAGATACTTTCTCAGAAATTGGAGATAAATTAACCTCATCAGCAAATTATATCAAGGCTCAATTGCTACTCCTTCCTTCCTCCTGATCATACTGCATCTTCCCAGGGGTTTTTAAAGTATCCTGTGCTACTGTTTCAACTGCACACCTGCCTTCCCCCCCACCTTTGTGCCTCTGTATTCTGCATATTAGCAGTGACTTCTATGAGGTCATGTCTTACCTGTAAAGCAGTCCCCCCAGGGTTGTGGCCATATTTTATATCAAGTTAATTCCTATTCTAGATTTGTAATCTTCCCATGGTGCAGATACAGGGTGGCTAAAGGTTCTTAGCAATCATGAGTAAGATTTCATAGCTTGAAATCCTAACCCTCAGCACCTCAGAAGGTGACTGTATTTGGAGGCGGGGTCATTAAAGAGGTAATTAAGGTAAAATGAGGTCATAAGGGTGGATGCTAGTCCAATAGGACTGTCTTTATAAGAAGAGATTAGGGCACAGATACACACAGACTGAGGGGAGACCATGTAAAGACATCTGGAGAAAAATCACCATCTGCAGGCCTAGGACAGAGGCCTCAGAAGAAAGAACCCTTGATCTTGGACTTCTATTCTTTAGATCAGTGGGAAGTGAACTTCTGTTTAAACTACCCAGTCTGTAGTACTTTGTAATCGCAGCCCTCTGTTCTCAGGATACACAGACCTCTCCCTGTCGCTCTCACACTCCAAGAGTATTGTTCTTCCTTCAGGTCTGTACGTACCATTTATGCCTTAAATCCCCTTCTCCTAGGAGCTTAGGTTTTCTATAAAGATTTTTGGTTTTTCTGTTTTCTCTTTTGTTACACAGTTTCCTGAGCAATGAGCACAGAACATAATACGGCTATTCAACAGTGAGAGAACGAAAGTGGAAATACAGGAAGAAGAAAACGTAGAATAAAAATCTCAAAATTTTGGTCATGTTTGGTTAATTGTTTGGTCATATAATTATTATATTTACTAAAGCCAGAAGATACATACTATTAATTATATATTTTATGGTTATATAAAATTAGGATAGTAGCCATGGAAAATCACAGGCTTCATACATAGGAATACTCTACTGACTTGCTTATTATTTTAAAACTTTTTTTATTGACGTGTAGTTGATTTACAATGTCGTGTAAGATACTGCTGTATACGAGTGATTCAATTATACATGTATATATCTTCTTTTTTATTATAGGTTATTATCAGATATTGAATCGAAGGAACTTGTTGTTTATCCTGACTTGCTTGTTATACAGTTAATTTTTCTTAGGACATGTGTATAGTGTGTCTTGGTTTTATATAGGAGTACAATCATTCTCTAGGATGTCATAGTGTTTATATGTGTTCATTCATAACAGTATCCCCCAGAGGAGGTATGTGGTGGCTGAGTATTATTCCATAATAATTTGCCTTAGAAATACCATTGTATGGATATATCCAGATAATTATACCTGTGTTTTAAAGTATCTTATTTGGGTATAATTTACAAATAACCAGTTGCATCAACATTAAATGTTCAGTTCAGTGAGTTTGTTCACTTACATACACCCATGTTACCACCACCCAAAGCAAGATATAGCATAGTTCTCCTACCCCCGGAAACTCCCTTGTGTGCCTTTTCTGTCAATCCCCAGTCCCTTGCAAACATTGTTCTGTTTCAGATATCACAGATGAGTTTTACCTGTTTTAGAACTTCATAGAAATGAAATCATATAGTATGCACTGTTATGGATCTGTCTGATTTTATTCAGCATGTTTTTGAGATTCATCCATATTGTTGTGTATATCAGGAGTCTGTTCCTGATATTGCTGACTAGTCTTCCATTAATGTCCATAATTATTGTTTAATCTGTGGAATTTACTCTGCCTGTTCTTCTAGAAGAGTAAATGTTGTCAGAGAAGTCAGGGGGATTGGTAGAGGCATTCAGTTAAATGTAACCAGTGCTTTGAGGTAGAGTTTGTACAAAGAATTTGTACATTAGAGTTTGTAACATCTCTAATGTGCCCACTTCTGACAAATGCCCACTCCAGAGGGCAGGTCATCAGAAATCTCTCCTTTTCTCAGATCAAGCCACAATCTAGGTTACAGGGTATCATTGAACCCCTGAGATTATAGTCAAAATGTCTATGACTATATATATATATATATATATATATATAATATACATACATGTGTATCAGTTAAGCCAAGGTAACAGAGTCCCCAAATATAGTGTACAGGGTATCATTGAACCCCTGAGATTATAGTCAAAATGTCTATGACTATATATATATATATATATATATG